CTCGTGCGTCAGTAATATATAATAAAGTCGGATAGATGTGTATATCATTCGAGGTTTTCTGCATTGCTACACACGTTTATTTAACTCTATCGTACACTGAATCCCTCCCACTCTCCCGAAAAGTTCACGCAGTTTGCACGTATAAAGTATAGTTAACCTGTACAGTAACAATGATTTTTCTTTGTTTATTTTTATTCTTGATAAATCTTTTTAATTGTTTAAATCGACACGCTAATTAAAAAGGACAAGCATATTCTTACAACTGCAGAATAATTTTGCAAGGTTTATAATTGATTTATAAATACATAAATGTATTAATGGTAAATGAAGTATGGTATTATAAAGATGCATTTTTAGATTAATTCAGTCAAGTTTTTTACGTTTTGGTTACGATTTGAATTTAACTAAAAATATTGTTAATTACTTAAGTTTATATTTTTCAGATTTTGTTACAAGAACAAGATGTACTACTTTCCCAGGATGTTCGTTATTTTGGAGAACGATTCTTTAGTTAGTGAAATACGATACCTTGAACTTTTATGATTTCAATTTTTATAGTCTGTATATAAGAAGAGATTCCATATTTTATACGTTTTTGTAAATGTTCTGAATTTATAGGTGGAAAGCATGCAGTTAATGAGCGTACATATTCGGCTTTTAATAACATTTTACATAGTAAGTGGGTTATTTTTATGGATTTTCTCATTAAATTATGTCAGAGCACTTACGGAAGGTGGCTGGTCTTGAGTTTTGGTTTCCTACTACGTCCCCCTCCCACGATGGAGATGGGTTGCGCAGCCGACTCGCAGCATTACTGACAGGGAAAGTACGTTCATAACTGTGTGTTTTCCATGTTAATGTTCATAATAAAGATATGAGATTATTGTAAAGAAAGTCCTTTTAGATTACATAGATTTATGAAACGTTGAGATGTTAATGTCATGTATGCTGTTTCTAAGAACATGTATTAGTAATGTAGATATACGGCAATGCAGATAACAAATCCTAAATGTGAATTTATGTATTTGTTGTTCTTTCTTCCTTCGATTGCCTTTATTATGGGATAAATAATTTATTTACGTTTGAGCGTAGCGAATTAGGAAATAATTGTTAAATATTTATTATGAATCAAGCACGATTTTCATGGAAAAAACGGGAAAAGTAGTCCGCTTTTTATGAATGAAATTCGACATAATTGAAAATTAAGTTACTGCTAGTATACGATTGTCTTTTATTCAAAATTTAACAGTTAAGCGAACAAAAAATATTAGAGTAAATTAAGAGAGCAGCTTTTACCACAATATGTATAGGATATCGACCGAGTACGAGGTCTTTCTGTTTAGGAAAGACCTGGTCACGAATTTCATGTGACACCGAGAGCGCGTAGCGCTCGAGGTGTTTCATGAAATTCGTGACCAGGTCTTTCCTAAACAGAAAGATCGATGTACGAGGCCGATATCCAACTTACACACCGTCAAACTATTGGCTTGAGCAATGGCTGATCCGAAACATTTGATGTAATGCACAAAGATAATTTTTAACACAGCGCATAAACAGGTAAGCTTTTATCAACGTTCTGCTTTTATATAGTATATATTTTGCATTTAACTTTGTTTGTTTTTTTTAAATAATAATAAAAAGGCTAAATGTGTAATTTGTCAATAATAAAGTGAATGGGTCTGTAATTGAATTTATGTAAAAGAATGAATAATTGTGTTGATAGTATTTCGTATCAGTCATTTCAAATTCTAGAACATTTGCTCCTCCCGAACAGTTGCCCTCTCGGACGTATGCCCCCCTTTTTTTCGCTTGTAACTTGTCAGAGGTCATCTCGTGTATATATTTTATGTATTTTATTTTTTATTTATAGATGCTAATTTTTAAGTTTTCACAAATTTGCGCGAGATTTTTTGTTTATTGAAGCAAAATGGAATTTCGACAATAGGCGATGAATTTTAATTTTTGTAACAAACAATTCAACAATTAAATTTTTTAACATTTTTAAAACATGGGGGTGATGGCAAATGTCCAACCCTTCCAAGGATATGGGGGGGGGGCAATGTCCGCCACTGCTAAAAGGGAGCAAACTCCGAGGGTGCAACTGTCTGTGGGGCAAATGTCCGATACCCAGCACACCGTGAAAGACTTACATATGTATATTGTTGCATGACAAGTGTAAGAAACATGATCCGAAATTATATTTTATATAGCAGATTATAAAGTGTTCTAGAATAAAAATAATGAAAATAAATTTTTAAACTAAATCACTTATAACTTTATATTAACATTTCTTTTTCAACATTTCTTTTAATAATATCCTAATCGTTTTTGTCGATATTTTAATAACTAATGGGAGATGCGTCCATTGTAGACCAATCCACTTTGAGTACTTGTATCTGCATGTCACTATAAGCAAGGTTTGGATAATATCTCTAACGTTCTTTGAAACTAAGCCCTGGATTCGAAAGTTTTCAGGGGAAATCAGTTTTGATTTTTCGCGGGTTGAATAGAAAGGTAGGATAAAGCCAAACTAAAAGAGGGGGTGGGGACGGGTTAACGGGGATTTAACAATCTGATTGATCCTGAGGGTCGGAATGTAACCAGGGACTTTGCTATGAACTGTCGGTAGCTGCGGTTTCCTAGGCAAAGCGTATATCAAATGGACGTAATTTGAATCACAAATGAGACGGACATATTTATGTTATATTTTTTCGATATGAAAGTTTGGTACAATTTTTATTTACTATGAATTTTTTGTGTGGATTAGATGATTTAGAATCGTGATAAGTATGCGGTCGGTGATAACTGTTATAGTTTCATAGAAATGAACTTAAAGCACCCATTTTTGTTATATTGTGAAATTAATGACAGAAGAAGCGCTTAGATTACTATTATTTTGAAAAATGACGCGATTAGAAAAATGTTAAATGTTTCCTAACTTTGATATGCTATCCATTTATTTCATTCAAAGATTTAATATAGAAATGTTGGAATAATTATAAACATTATCTTGTTTAAAAGAATGTATCCAGATTTTGTCAGACAGGAATATTATGACAATCATTTATTTACATTTTATTTTCAATTTTTGGATTGCATTTCATGTTTTCTTTGTCTACGCATAGGCAGGTCTATTTTTTCACGTGTTTTTCATGACCGGGTCTGTCTGACTAGAACAGACCTGTGCACGTGCAAAAGATAGACCTCATAACGGACTTTCTTTTGTTAAAACAGGTCTATCCGAAAAATATAGACCTGTCACAAACAATAGAGGAGGTGTGTAAGCATGTAACTCATTATTATATGAATTTACGAAAATTACGAATGCGATTTTCTTTTAATAATTTGTGTAAGAACGTCGCCTTTATGAACTATGTTTTTAGATAATAATCGTGCTATCACAAACAATTATCTAACGGTGATCAAAGTTGAAGGTGTAGTTTATTTTGAGTAATTACCATCTAGACAGTTAAATTACTGGAGTAATCACCCATTTTGTTTGTTTTAACACCTTTTTATCTTGTCTGGCAATCTTGGTTTTTGTCAAGTTATATGAACACAATTTGTGACATTTGATGTTTATCACTATTGTCTTGTTCTGAATTAAGACAATACATAAATACACAAGTTGAAACATTCTGAAATCATTCCTAAAAGCAAATTGAGAAAGAAATGTCTTCAAATATGAGAGTATCCTATGATAAATACGGACACAGAGTCTTCAGTAGTAATGTCAAGTCAACAAAGCCGGGAGCTGAAAATCAGACACTTCAACAGAAACGGCGAGAATTACGATATACAGAAATAAAATTCACGAAAGCTTCTCGCCAGCTGATGCACCTAAACAAACTTATGGCTGACATGAGTTACAGATACAACAGAGCTGAGGGAAACAACTTTAAATGTTTTCGTTACAATCTGAAACTGAAGTTATCTGTCTTGGAAGGCGTGAGAAGCATGTACTATAACTATGTTTACACGAAAGCTGAAGACATCAACATGCTGCGTCATGATGTGCGTTTCTGGATAGAAGAGAGCAGTGAGTCTGAGTACGAAACTGAAGACGACGAATGATATACAATTACTTTCTGAACAGCTCTTTTTAGAGCTAATCTGGTTCAATACAGAACCTGCAAATATCTCGAAAGAAAAGGCCTAATTCACTATTGTCTTATTTTTCAAAAAAATGTTCGTCTCCTGATCGAGTAATTTATTTTCAAATATAGAGGGCTTTTTGTGTCCACCAAGTAAATGAGAGGAGGTGGCCTTTTCTACTTCGGTGTTTCTTACTTACATACTATATCATCAACAATTAGGATACGTATTTTGTTTTTTAAATTGGTCTTTTGACAGCATTATCTGTGATAAACAGGATCCCAATTCAAAATTCCATTTTATATTGCTTCTTCAATTGTTTCCTCGTTTAAAGGACACGCATTCATTAAATTGGGGACCATTCGCCGCTTTTTATGGAACGGCACTAACATGTCTCATTTACGGTTCCACGAATTACCTCTGCGGATGTTTCTCTATTACCATGTTTAAATGTTAAATTCTGTTTAAGCCAATGCACACGGACAGTAGCTTGCACTTTCCAGTATTTCCCAGGAACAGGCTCAGCCAAACCCAGCCTGCACGAGCCTGCAACTTTTTTAATTTTGCTGTTTTGGCCTTTTTTTAGGGATTCTAGTTCTCTCTATCTTACTATAAAGTATAGATGGTAGGACTTTTGTCCGAGAGAACTTTAGCCTGTCTCTCAAGATTTCCATATATTTCATAATGATGATAAATAGGTTGTCATATAACTGGTTCTTAATCTATATTCTTTTATAGATAGTCATACAAATCTGTTTGTTTCAAAATTTGATTTTTTTGCATTGTTGAATCAATGCTCTACCAAATTTTAATTAAAAATATTCGGCTGAATAGAATCAGTAAATTTTCTTTCCCTTGTTTCTTTCCAGAAATTATCAATCAAATAAAATAGAATAAAACAAATAAACAAACAGTTTTATTTTATTTACAGAATTTTACAATGTACATGTTGTACATGTTGTGATGGTGTATCAGTCTAACATACAACTCTACAGATAAAGCATTTGTTTACTTATTTTGTATACTTTTCAAAATTAAACAAAAAATTACAGTGTTTTATTATATAAAACATAATTATCTTACACAAGACAAGATTTCTATATTACAAAATCAGAAATACTTACACATCACAAATAAATTACAAATAACTCGTATATTCACTGTTCAAATCAATAAAGCACACATAAATAAATATAATCTATGAACATTTTTCTGTTCAACAGGCAAGCAAATTAAGATATGACCACCCTAATGGATGATGTTTCAAAAGTTATCTTTAATAATATTTCACAGAACTTCATTGTATAATGAACGTGTTTATCAATTTTAATGATGTTTGATGATACATACGATGATACTTTAGTATAAACTGTATTTCAAAATGACAAAGATCTGGTTGAGAAATCCTTCCAGGCTTTGCCATATATTATCGAGGGTAATATTTCGGCCTAATCTGTGTACAATGGAAAAAGTTCAGGATGTTTACCATGAATATGGTGTCGCATTAGGAGGGTCATACCTTAAAACAATTAGACAATTATGAGATATATTTATAATTACAAAAGTTACCTTCAAGGAGCACTAAATTTGATCTCAAATCATGACAATTTGACAAGAAAATAAACGTAATGAAATAATAGTTAACTGTGTAAATATACACTGAAAATAGCTAACACATTAATCAGTTAACAATAACAAAGTTCGCCATTATAATGTTGATTTATAACAAAAAAAAGAACCCAAATAACACAGTTCCAAAAATATATTCTTATTACAGGTCTGATGGGCAAGATTTCAAATATGCGTCGTCAAGAAGACACAATAATATATTGCAATATATAGTATCATACATACATGTATATATCTCTGTCTAAAAGAACAACAATGCATGTTTGGGATTTAGTAAAACTTTTGAAATTAAGATAGATATGCCTGCACACTCCTTTCCTAAAAAGTTTGTAAAGTGCAGAAATAATACTGTTTGTAAACTGGAATATTTTCAAACTGTATTTTTCCAAGAGTGAGAACATTTTTGGTAGATTTTTGTATTCAAAGTTTGTCATTTACTAGTAGGCTTGCTTTCAAGTAAAATAAATACTGGTTTCATATCAAATATAGTCATAAAGTAAGTTTCTATATTGAAAATAAAACAATACAATATGTGTACATATGTTCTGATAGAAATAGTACAAGTAAATTGACAACAAAACTATTTCTACAGATAGCCAAATACTTGAAGCTAGCCTTCCTATAAGACAACTGTCTGTCACAATACTTTTACACTCCTCATATTCTGTTTAGAGCAGAAATCTGTAGTGTTATACACCTTAGCATATATACAAATTCTATAAAAACACAAAAACTGAATAACAATCTCAATAATCAAGAGCAGCATCAACAAAGTTGCACTAAGAAAAAGTAGCAAAGTTTTGTTGTTTGATTTTTAAGAAAAGAAACAAATATTGAACTTGATATAATTTCAAGGTTGTACTACAACTTTTCACATTTACTTCTCTATTCATGTATAAGAATATCTACTTTGTATTTCTAAAATCTATTTAAATAAATAGACATATAATTTTATGTTCAAGCATAACGTAACTACATCAAGTTTTAACATTTAAAGAAAAACAGTGCAGTAGATAAAAGCAAAACTTACAATTATATGTATACTTTACAGTACATGGTCCCTTGTTACAATGTCAAAACAAGAACGAGTCATAATACAATTTATCACATAAACCGCGGCGCAGGTGTGTAATAAAGCCATTTAATAAAAACAATATAACACTAGTGTAATAACACTTTCACATGACGTCATTTGCGCTATATAGAAACATAGCATTAAAGCATGCTAATGTTAGCGTTACACTATTAACACGACATTGAAAAATTACTCATTTTAACAGTTTACTGTTCTTATTTTATATATGTGATAAAAAGAATATTATATTCATGTAGATTTCAATACTAAATTTATTAAACTCGTTGAATAAAACAATATTATGCTCGCCAGAGGCTCGCATAATATGATTTTATTCAACTCATTCAATAAATTTTGAATTAAACTACACTCATTCAATATCCTCTATTTATACAATAGACAAACACTGAGATTTCCTGCTTTGTGTAGGATTGCACTACTAGTCTTTGAAAAGTCAAACTAAAATTGTGAAATTTGTAAAAGGATACTTCAAAGAAAAGACTCAGTTAAAAGTTAGCTGTGAATCAATGTACCATCCTTAAAATATTTTGCAAAATATTGTTACAGTATAAATCAATTTACTAATAAGAGGGGTATAAGCAGATGAATAACTCAGTTGGTCAAGTTAAAAAATAGTGGTCAAAAAGTGGCCTGTTTATGTCCCTGTCAGGAAACACATACAAAAAAAAACAAAAACAAAAAAACAATATAGGTGAAACAAATAAAAATTAATACATTAATTAAGGACTTTTTATGTACAAAAAGCATAATCACATATACCAAACAATTTAAATATAGTTTTATTCTATATATAGTAACAGTGTACTTTTACATTCAGCCTCATAAACATTACATAGCGAATAATAAAATTTAACTTTAATTTAACCGTTATCAACCTAAATTACTGTAATGGAATTGTCCTGCTTTTGAATTTAGAAGTGTCCACTGTTAATTTAAGGAATTTCTGGTCGCATTCACAAGTTAAATATCACAGACAGCACTGTTAAAACATGATTCATGCATTCAATAGATGTTGTAATTTAAGATGTATTTGACAAGAACATAATTACTAGTATTTGTTTAGAGCAACATGACATTAATTTATCCCATGATCTGATGTCAAAATTGTGTATCCTTTTTGTGTACACCCTTTTACCTGCTAATTTGTCAAATGGACTTTTTTTAAATGTTGGGGGTATGAGAAAGACAATTGAAAGTAAGTTCGCCAAAAGTTTAAAGCCTGGTCAGACTACACCACATGTACAGGCTGGCCTGGTTCTATACTGGTGGTGAAAACTTATCACTCCCTGTTCCAGCAGGTAAAGGTTACTAACATTACATATTAAGAATGCACCATTTCTGTATACAATCATAAAGACATTTATCCTTGCAATATAAATCACAATATCAATCAATGTACAAGTTTATTTCCTCATAGTTTGGCTTTAAAAATCAATATAAAAACATTCAAATGATCACATTTTGATTAAATACAGAATGATAACAATTTCAGTTTTTCTGTTCTTTCTATAAAAAAATCATTCATTCTAGTCCCTTCAATATTAATTATATACATGTATAAATATCAGTGGAGATACTTTTGTATTTTCATCTTTTCTACTTTTTGTTACTTTTACTTTATTCTTTTTTGTTGACATTTATAATTATCTCAATTTGTAATGTTGTTAGGTCTCACAATTTTTAGCAATTAAAAAATAATGAAAAGTAAAAATGGTACATGAAAAGCAATCCATCATTTCAAAAAGGTACTGTCTATTTGTTCTGTTTTTTCTGTCACCACAATGTGATGATATTTTGGATGAAATATAAAGAGATTTGGACCATTTTAATCAACAGAGTATCTTGTAGGTTTTGTGCATCTTAGAGCTACCTGTAGATTAGATATTGAGCCACCTGCGTGGAAGAAGGCCAGTACTGCCATAATACACATGACAATATACGAGGGTATAATACTGCCTAGGTAACTCTGTGGATTATCTGCTCCTCGTTGATTTAATAAACTCTGAAATACAAAATAAATATAGTATTACATGGTTCTCTACTACGATCTACATATTTTGGTCTATTCTGCTTGTCTTATTACAAATTTGATAATTTAAATATTGATTCTTTTTTGCATATACCCATTTTCAATATTTTTAGGAAAAAAGATCAAAACAAACTAAGTAACAGGGACAACAAAAAACAGAATCTTGAAGTTTTTGTTGTTTTAATCTATTTGACTACAACAGTATTTCTTCTTTATCATGGTGTATTTGTTTTTTATTTTTGTACATTTGCAACTCATTTTTGGAATTTTTAAAAGAATTTTGCATATTTTTCAATAAAATTTTGTAAGGAAATAAAGTTGTATTTGCATTACTTTTAATAAGATAATAATATTGGTATATTTTCACTCAACTTTGGTATATTTTCAAGTTATTTTGACATATTTTTATGTTATTTTGGTATGATTCCATGTTATTTTAGTATATTTACATGTTATTTTGGTATATTTTAAGTTATTTTTTTGGTATATTATAAGTTATTTTTGGCATACTTACAAGGCATGAGACAAGCATATGTGAGGCAACTACAACCACAACATAGATATATTGCTTCTTGTCAAAGGCATTGAAGAATATGATTCCCCAGAATGTATGAAGTAATACGAAACACAGTGTGAGGAAAGCTGAAAGAAACAAATATTACCATTGTGTGCATAATTATTTAAAGTAGAAATCTGTATATGATTTTTAATCTGATCCAATCAACTCAAAACCACATAAAAAGTAAGATACATGTACTCGTGTATGTAGGTATTGACATCTAAAACCATCTTAAACATTAACCAATTAATGAAGGTTCTTTGTGAAAAAGAAGAAAATCTGTATCTATCCTAAGTGACTGTGATCAAATCAACTTAAATCATATTAACATGCAAGGTACCAAATTTTTCAAATGTTCGTTAATGACCTTTGATGAACAGACCACAGTCAATCAGGCAATCATAAACTTCACCACTGAGGTAAGCTAAAGATATACAAAACTTATCACTGTAGATTAATTTAAGCTTACCTGATGCTAGAAAGAAATACTGTGAGTCGCCGTGGATACCTATAGTTCCTGGACCAACCATATCTGCTAGCACGTTAATCAGTGAGAACGCTCCACCTAGTATCCCAAACCCTAGACCTGATACTGAAATAATATCACAGATCCATCATTATCTGGTTTTATTGACAGCAATATCGCTTATAAAATTTAAAACAGATGATAATTATTGACTCCTGCACTCTATATAATAAAATATTCTTTTATGAATTTTTACTCAATAAATGGAGAAAAAGGGTACATTACCACTGAATGCAGTTACAATTCTCCTATAAAGTTTGAAACAAACAAAACATGATTTTTCTTCTATTACCACACTATCAAAGTCAAAAATAGATTAATAAGACAATATGCCAATAGTTAAGCCGATAGGGCTAGTTTTATATTATCTTACCGTAAGCCATGATATGTTTATTAGAGATGTCTTTTGGTGTGACATGCTGATCTTGTCCCTGCAGACTAACTTTTTGTAGACCCTCGTCTGCTTTTCTATAGCAATGTGTTACCAAATAGATGATATATATTATATATACATGTATATTGACTCTAAACAGTTTCTCTGTGAAAGTAATTACATGTAAACATCCAGCTTGTTTTTAATTTAAATAAGTAAGTATTTTATGTTACCTGACTTATGTAACAATGATATTTGTTTACATAAACTACCTAATTACATTTTTATAAATAAAATGTTTTTAGAGGAGTGATAGTGTCATGATTCAGGTGTCCGCCTCTCAAGTCTCAAACCAGGGATTGTGGGTTCAAGCCCTACTAGGGTCATAACCATGACACCGGTTCTGGTAAACAGATGGAATGGTTCAAGTAAGGTTCAAGCTTTCATCATAATCCACTAAAATAAATATGTTGAAACTAAAGCATTTTAAAAATTGAGCTTTGAGCAATTGGGATCATAAGACTGGCAGCAAGAAATATTAGAACATTAAAATAATAATTCTGTGTTTACATACAAATGTTAAATCACCCTATACCTTACCTCAACAATTTATAGAAAAAGAATCTGAACAGCTCCTGGAAAATTACAGAGAAAACGAGACCAAAGGCAAGTTTATCTCGTAATGGAACCACTGCATACCATAATATAGATGACAGTAGCAGGGATAGTAGCCAGAAAAATCCACTGAAATGAAAACATTTTAAACTGATTAATACACAGTTTTAAAACTTTACTTTTAGTAAACAACGATTGTTAACAAGTATTTGTTTATACAGAATTTACTTGAACAATAGTATATTCGGTGGTGCAGGACGCTTCCAGCTTATAGACACACTCTGGAATCCGTTCCTTGAATCAACAAGTACAGAGCGAAGAGTGTAAAGTTTCTTCTCAACAAAACAATGGCTCGCCCCTGACAGGGTTTGAATCCATACAGATAAATGGTCCTTTGACTACAATTCTGACATGTTAGCCAATTTAGGTTTTCACAGTATTTATGCAAGAACCAATCACATACTAGCAACCAGAAGATATTAATACTCATATAAATATATCAGTCTTTAGAGTCATATATATATTTATCACATTGTTTTAAGACATCATCATGCTTGTCAATAATGTAATTATAAAGAACTAGTACCCTGTGTGTTTTAAAAAGAGAGCAGCACTTTTATGATCTAAACTAACCATTTGGTGAATTCAGAACCATAGAATTGAGGTGGATAAGAAAAATTTGTTAACATGCTTGAATAAACAAAATGGTCATTCTATACATATACAATATTGATACAACACAAAATTATAAATCAAAGATCTCTAGATACCTTGTGATCAGTACAATAACTCTCAGAGGATCTCTTGCAATGGTAAACACAAACAAACCAAATGGTGGACCAAAGGCAATAAATGTGCATCCGAAAAATTCCATCAAAGTCATGGTTACTAATGTGTTCTGAAATAATGATATACAAGACCAGATTTAATTCCTGAAAAAACAAAATAATGATCTTCAAGAAAAAAAATCCATTTACGTAATTATAACAAAACAAATGTGTTGCAGTTCTGAAATATAAATATCATGATCAACATGACAACAGAGTTCCCGATAATTTGAAATGAAGTGAAACGAAGAATTAGCACAAGAAATCTACAAGAATATGTCAACATTTCAGAATTTATCATTGACAGTGGATGCAGATATACTAAAACCTGTGATGCCTCTGACGGCAACATCACAGAGAATACAAAGAATCAAAGATTTTATTTGATTATGTGACTAATACGTTCTGAGCCTTCGATATCTTTCTTTCAAAGATATATACTTTAAAACTTTGGTATAAATTTGAAAATGTTGATAATAAATTTACTCATGCTAGTTAGTTTAATATTGTAATGTGTTTTACTCATTTTCCTTAATTAATCACATGGCATATGTTTTCATTAAATGAAAAATTAATAAAGTTTCCTTTTAAAAGGAAAGGCTTGCACAGTTGTGCCTTCATCCCAACCCTTTAAAATTGTTGTTTTTTTTTGTTTCAATTTATTATCACAATTTTTTTGAATTAAGGTATTTGTATATCATAAAGGGTTTATTTAGTTGTTTTTTTTGTTTTTTTTTGTAAAAACGAATGTTTTTTGTCAAAACGATTTGAAATCTATTCTCTATTGTATAAAACAAATAAAGAAAATAATCAATCGTAAAAATACTAACGTGAAGATCTATCTATCATACTGAAGGGAAACAAGTGTGCACATTTCATTTCCACTTTTTTCGCAGAGAAATCATTCGTTTTGGCAGTTGCTAATTTCATTTATATAGCATCTTTATGGACAAGTAAATGCACTATTTAAAATACTTCGTTACGTGGTAAAAATTAATAAGCATGTACATGTTTGAACTATGTTACACGACCACAGATACGATATGCGCTATTTGTAGATCAGCACGTGGTAAGGTTAATGATATGCATGGGCTATTTTTAGATTACCTCACCAAGACGTTGAATTGCGTTCATTAGATCTAAATATAACTCGATCATGCACATATATTCTGTGTGATTTGGTAAGCAGGACCGCCCTTTGGAGACGGAATACTACTACAATAACCATTCTCTATTGTATAAAACTAATACAGACAAAAACAATTATAAAAGAAACTAACTTTTGCGTCTTGAAAAAGAATTAAAACGCAACAATTTCGTTTATAATTTATTACGGTTTAAACCGATAAATCAAGTAAAAATAGAAATCCTTTTTATATAAACAAACTGGGATTACCGAAGTAACTAAAATAGCTTAGATTTCCGTAATATTACTTCGTCTGATTCCGCAGTATGATGGTATCGCCCGAATTGTCACGATTGCAATCGGAACTACATCGGCTATTATCATTAAACCGAAGAGTGACGGAAAGGGCCGAAAAGTTGCGATTGGCACGATTCCAGCTGGTTTCCCGTTCAATCATGCACTAACAAATGTAAGCAGGAAACCACCTAACCGGAACAGCTTTTCCAAAACAGATGGCTTGCAGCCGTGGCTGCAAGCCAAAAAAGATTTAAGCTACCCTACAGATGAATAACGGCAAATATAGTGTGTCACATGATTAAAGTGCATATATGTCACAAATTTAATGTCGTCACGAACTGATTCGAAATTAGATATTGTCACGGGATTCACTTTCATTTTCAAGTGATCCAAAGTGGATCAATATTTACATATGTCAAAACATATACAAAAACAACCACCGACAATTAGAATTTAACAAATCTTAAATTTTTTTATCAGTAATTTTGTTATTTTCAGTTCACTGTTATTGCTTATATGAACAGATTGATATATATCTCTGTGTACAAATCTGAAATCAAGTTGTGCTGCTGTATTTTTTTAACATCTATTTACTATTATTTGATCGTTGATCTCATTATTAATTTATTATTGTGATTTACATGTCATTTAAAACGATCCTTGATTGGAAATAAAACATATTCTAATCTGCCAATCTAACTGATGTCAGTTTGTTATACTGATATCAGAATATTTTAGACAATCTGAAATTATCCTGTTTTTCATGATCGCGAAATGTCATTACAAACGAGATATATCTCGTCAAGTAACTGAAAATGCCTTACACTTACGAATAAACCTTACGATTTTGAAGAAAGATACTTAAGACAACTACCTACCTATTGAATTTAAAATGAAATGACTGTTTCTTTTAAAAAATATCGTTTTTATTCTTACTTCCGTGTGTCAATTTTCCAGACTGGTTTGGAATGACTAAGCAGACAATACAGACAATACGCAAACCATTCTTCTACAATAACAACAACAACAACAAAGAGTTGACTGCTAAAATGGATGAAATCTTGCCAAATCTGTGCGTGACAACTCGTGCTGATGGTGTTAATATAATAAGGTTGTAAATCTTTATTAATCGTATATATTACATTGTGTTTTTCTTTCATAAACAAATTATACTTATGATACAAGTTTCTCGATCCCAAAGTCAAAACTACAGTAAAGTAGTCAGTATACGTGTATTGTCTATATATACAGTAGAGTAGATTTTGACATGTCCTATTTTTGGTCCGAGGGTGGTCAGGCAAAAATATATCAAAGTTGCCACTTTGTCATTTTAATTGATTTAGGGAGCCATACGCCCCTCAGAGTGAAAGTATAACAAACTACAAAGTGGTGTCTGTCATATTAATGTTTTTTCGCTTTTGTGCCCAGAGGAGTAAAGTAAGACAAATGTTAAATTTGTCATATTTTTTATTTTTTCGACTTTGCCCCCAGCGTAGCGAAAGAACGCCATACAAATTAGCCACTGGCAAACCAGGTCTTAAACCTCTAAGCATTCAAGAGACCTTTTAGTGTAAAAATTCCTTTCATACATACACTATAATCTTTTTTATATTTCTGTCAAGTTTGGCTGCAGTTACACAATTAAAAGCAATCCGGTCAACTCGTCCCCTGGTCAACTCGTCCCCTAGTCAACTCGACACCTTTTTGGTCAACTCGTCCCCTACTTTTGGTCAACTCGTCCCTAATATGGTCAACTCGTCCCCTTCTTTCGATCTCTGTCTTTAAAATTTCTTTAAATAATTCTTTTATGTAAAATATGTAAAATTAATACTGAATTTGATTGATATCGAAATATTAATAAAATAATTACGTCTTTTTTACGTTAAATTTTAATGATCTTTATCTAAGCGCACGTGCATAGCTTTGATGTCAAAAGACTGACGACAGATTAACAGAAATTAGAAACGCTAAAAACTTTATGTCGGTGCGTATTGATCTCATTATAGAAGGATCGTGTCAATTAAAAACATGATAATTGTTTGTTGGGATATTGTCAATAAAAAATTTTCCCTGATAAATATAAGATTTATTCTTAAAAACACATTTGCTTGTACGTTATACAATACAATACAATACAATACAATACAATACACTTTATTCCGCTTTAAACTTACAAAGTTTATAGCAATAACAACAACATAAATACATGAGAAATGGTTTACACAGGGTATATGAATACTGTTGGAAATTTACAATTACAATAACGTACGAGACTTCATTTTCAATTGTTCATAGAAAAAAAAAAAAAAACAATCATAATGACGTATTTGGCTGACATTTTAATTACTCATCGATAAAAAAAAAAAAAATGTAAAAATAATGTACGAGACTTAATTTGAAATTTAGTATATAACAACAATTAACACATCATAAATTTGAGAACCTGTCATTTCGTAACTTTGATGCAAAGTAAATATATTTTGCTAAGTTGGTAACATTACTTTTAACATTTGTCGACATTAAAATTTCAAATTTCTTCAGTGTTGGCCATCTGCAAAAATATCTTTTAAAGAATTTTCATTCTTAGATCTCTGTATAACGGACATACAAGAAGAAAGTGATATTCAGATTCTAAAACTCCCATTGAACAGCATTTGCATAATATATTTTCTCTCAGAGTACCATCATATCTCCCAGTTTCTATGGCTAGGGAATGTGCTGATACTATGAACTTAGTTAATGCTATGCGATATTTTACAACCGTTACGGTATCTAAATATTTCTCCCGATTGAATGAATGTTTAAATAAACAATAGGCTTCTAGTTTTCTAGAATTGTTAATATTGCTGTACCATGACTGATAAAAGGCATCTAATAATCAACATTTTAATATATTTGACCATACACCATCAAAACAAATTCGACATTTGGAAAATAAATTTTGATAACAACTTTTGGCACGATTTTCACGCAATTTCAAATTAAAGACACGCGTTCTTAAAATATATAAAAAAAAACGTATCCAACCACAGAGGTATTTGTGTCGTTAATCCTATTATCAAATAACCATGTGTATACTTTAATAACCAAAGGCACGTGTCATGATATATTTAATTAACAACAATTTATATCATGCATAAAACAGTACAGTATCCACTTATCGTCAATCAACACGATAATTTAGGTCATTGTATCAATTGTGTCAATTATATTTATTTATCCTCAACGGGACTTTTGAGAGAATTCGGCAACTTATACAAGCCCCAAGAGTAGAGTCGTAAGATGTCCAAAAAAAGACAATGAAATATGTGCATGGAAAAAAAACAATGAAAGTGTGAAAGTGATTAATCGTCTTCGTGTTTTTTTTTTCTGTATGTAATTTAATCAGAATTATGCATATATATCCTTATTATAAGCTGGAACTCCAAATAATCGCATACAAAAAGCGTCAAAATATGTCCAATTCAGTAATTTTATAATATATTATTTTAACAGTCTATAATGATTTATGAACTATATGAAAAACAAGTAGTAATAAAATATAAAGGACGAGTTGGGGACGAGTTGACTAGAGGACGAGTTGTCCAGGGGACGAGTTGACCAAAAAGGTGACGAGTTGACCAGAGGACGAGTTGACCAGAGGACGAGTTGACTCTGAATCCAATTAAAAGCCTCATTTCAAACTTGGAAAAGCTTAACCTGTCATGGCCTCTAAAAATAAAGGAACTAACCCCAAACCTCTTCAAATATCTCCGAAATTTAACTGTCTAGTTTAGCTAATAAAGTGGTTGTCACTTGACTTTGACACATTGCAGGATGCAGGTAACTGTTTTAAGTGTTTTTTGTTTATAACACTCATTTTCACATTAATAAGTCAATGGTGTATTTACAGGACTTAAAAGGTAACAGTAATTCATATAAAGTTACTCTAAGCTAAAGTAACAAAATATTTATTGTAAATATCCATTCCTATGGATTTATTTCATTTGACAGCAAAAGACATGTCTGTCAGAAACTAAGCTTTTATAAGCACACAAGTTGATGACATCATAGGAACTTCTGGCTCATGAATGAATGGTGTGAGGTAAGGTACTTATACAATGTATATAATAGTATACCCATTCTTAAAAACATGTTTTAGTCAAAAGTCCAGTTAGTTTAAATGATCCTGTTTCTTTGTTTTTAGACGATGAATTGAGAAATAAATCAAGGAGTGCACTACAATTCTTTCTAAGAAGGAGAATTATTAAAATATAGTCTCAATCTCTCCTTTGCATAAACCTGGGATTTACAATTTTAAGCCCCAGCATAAACCTGAAATAAAGTCAAGTTTGTTTGCATATGTTCATTTAATTTATCATTACCAGTTAATGTGTGATGTGTATAAAAATATAGCACTCTTGTGGAATTGACTCTGGAGCATATAATAAATTATTATATTTAATTACAGATACATGAATTACAGTTATACTTTAGATCTATAAACTTAGTAATTATCCCTTTCTGTTTTGGGGAAACAGTACCTGAACCTGTAGGAGGGGGAATATATATGTAATTTTCCAATGTTGGCAATTCATTACATTCATTGTACAGTGGTTGATTCCAGTAACAGATTCGATAGTGCTTATAGCATCCAACACAAAAACAAACTAAAATAAATAACCAAAACTTATAGTGACAATACTCTGTTGTTAGTTATTGCATATTCAATTTTGCAAAAAAGCAAATTTCGTTAGGATATACAAGTTCTATTTGTCAGCTGAATTAAAATATTAGATTTTATCTAATAATTATATTCCCTCAAGTTTTATCAATTTATTTTTCTTACACCTTTAAAGCTTTGATACATATTCAATTATTAAACCTGTTTGTTTATTTTGCAGGAAAGCTCTTGAAGAGTTAAAATTGAATGATGCATCTAGAAGACTCAAACACCTGAAAAATGAGAATCTTGTTGCTATTCCTATAAAACCTGTACATGATTCAGAATCAAGAAACACTTTGGACAAACTGAAGAGGAAAATACAAATGTATGAAAATGGTAGTTATGATGTGAGTGAAGTGTGTATTAGGACAATGGACTTGCCTCTTGCTAAAAAATTGACAGTCAAAACTCCACAACAACTGTTGAAAACAGGCTTAAAGTCTCTTCTTGAAGTAAATGGTGATTATTCAACTCTTCATTATTTATGATAGTGCTTATTTTTGTATTAATTACATAAGTAAGTTATAATAATCAGTTCAATAAAAACAAACGCTTTTCTTAAGCTTTCGACGTTTAGTCTTCTTCAGAAAAATTGACGTTTTATAATATATATTTTTTTTTTTTTTTTTTTTTTTTTTTTTTTTTTTTATAAGTAAGTTATGTATTTCTTTATATTATGTAAATGATCTCTCTGTGTGTAACTCATTTCTCAAAGGATTTTACAGAATATCTTCACCAAGTGTTCTAGTGATATTGTAATTGATTTGATTATTTTTGGCAGAACTATAACCTTTCCATTTGTCACATATTAATAGTCTGTGTGGAAGGCCTTATATTTCTCAATGGATTACAATCAAACATTCACAGAATTATTTTAATCAGATGCACTGGGGCATATTGTCAGGTTTTCTGATACAATAATTATTGGTTGAAACATAGTTTTTTTCTCACTTCAACTGATCAAGTAAATTGTAATTCTATTGAAGAAATACCTCTTACAAAATAAATAATGACTATATTTGACAGTGTTTCCTGATTGTATATTATAAACTAGGTTATAGCTGGACTGATGATGTGATAAATGATATACCAACACATTGGGAAAGACATGGTGACCTTGTTCTCATTCCAGGCTCAACATTTACACTTCCTATCTGGCTTCAATTAGGTTTGTATAGTTTGTTTGTAAGGATTTTTTTACCCTTAACATGCTAGGACCAAAAGATATTAGCATTTGTCACCAGTATAGACCCAGGACAGTCTGCAATGGTGTGAAATCTGACCAGGCTCTTAACTGTTGGTTGGTAACTATTTTTTTGTATTTTGATACTAAAGAATCTCCGAATTCAAAGGAGAACAATCCATTAAAAAAAAATCCTCAGGTTAAGAGTTTTATTGCTGTTATTTTTTATCAGTGTCAGGTGATACTCATTACAAGACAGTACCTGGATTAAACTGTTCATATTATAGATTATCTGATATTATTTCAGCAGCTTACTCTCAGATTAAAGCAAGGTTCAAAGCTGCAATAAAAAAGGACAATTGGTTAAAAGTTGACAACCTTAATTTTATTTTCCTATAGAAATTATTTTGCTGCAGTAAGTTTGAAGATACACTTGAAATACAATTGTATTACCTTTATTACCAAGTGTGAGGTTATTGTGTGTGTTATAGGTACAGAGTTTTGGCCAACAGTTACAAGGAGTTTGTCATGTAAAAGAATAGCAAGAAAGTGCCTGGTCTCTGTAGATCAGTACAGGACACCACAAGTTATAATGTTATATGGTGACAATGGTTGGGTGGAGCATGTTGATAATGGTATAAAGTAAGTGCCTATAGAAATTATGTTCACTTATAACCTTTGAAATCACATGACATTGCTTAATTCATTTAGCTGTAATATAATGTAACTTCTCCTACATTGCTCGAGGGATTCTAACCAAATCTACATAGAAATATTGTCATCAAGTACCCTAGGGCATATTGTATTGATTTTGGGATACAATTATTATGTACTGACTTAGAAATGAATACCCTCTTTGTAACAATTTCCTGCCAATTTTATTTGTAACATAAAAAAAACAATTTTTCTTTTCAGTAGATTGTAAGTATTAAATAAGAGTTTTAATACTCAGATTATTCTCCAGATATTATTTTTGTCTTGTTAAGGCAATATTTTATTTAGATTTATGTCTGCCAGTGCACTGTTTGATACAAGTTATAATTACCTGCACAATTTATTGTTTTGTAGATATACATATGATGTAACAAAGTGTATGTTTAGTGCTGGTAACATTACAGAAAAGTTGAGAGTGGCAGGATTCCAGTGTAGTGGAGAAGTTGTTGTGGATCTTTATGCAGGTATATCATGGCTGTGGACTTATTTTACACTATGACTTTATGTCATACAGAGTTATACATAACAGTGGTCACTGAAACATCTTGGATACATCATAATATTTATCCATTCTGATTCAGTTGTTGTAATTGGCCACCGCCTAAGTGGTCACTTAGTTGGCTAAAAATATAACAATCTCTATTTGTCATAGAGCCTGTTTATATTATCATGATCAGCACTTACTTTGTGTATACACCTTGTGTGAACCTCTGATAATCACTGGAGTCGAGGGCTCTTATGCTTAAAGTAGCTACTTTATTTTCCCCTTAGAACATATATTTATTCATAGGAAATTGATATTTTCTCAATAATTTTAAAAGTATAAATAAGTCAAATTTCCTACAAATATCCCATCTTTTTGTATGAAATTAAACTTTAGAGATGTGGTATTTCATAGAAAATTTGAGAGGCATATTGCTTTTATACTCCATCAGTGAGGCATAAGAATTTCACAAACATCTGTTGTTATTGAGTGATTTTTATTAGTTGTTAGATTTGTTGGTACTATGCATGAACCTCTACACTTATGTGGGTGGCATTGAGGTTACTTTTGACAAGGTAACCAACTACCATATCTAAATGAAGTTACGTTCTCAGTTGTGTGAGCATGAGATGACAGTTGTTGCATTCTTCATTTTTAAATCATTTAGGTGATCAATGAATAATCACTGTGACCTCCTTTCAAACATTCTTAATAATTCTAAATTACTGTATGTTATGTTTGCATAATATAACTGGTTACAACATTTATTTTAAACTTAGACACCAGAGGTAAATAACTTTATGACAACATTATTACTATTTTATTGCAAAACTGTTCCAAATTGTGATGTACTGACTTTCATAGGATTTGTGGATATTTAATGTTTCACCTAAAAAGAACATTATTGAAAAGTAGCGACAAAAGTTTGTACCTTTTGACATAGTTTAGAAAATGTTCAAGTGTTTCGCCATTTATTGCAAGATGGAGATTTTTAGTTTCAGGTAATACTTTATATTTCAGGTATTGGGTATTTCACACTTCCATATTTGGTATATACTGGAGTCAAGCATCTACATGCTTGTGAGTGGAATCCGCATGCTGTAGAAGCTTTACATAGAAATCTTATCTTAAACAAAGTTGATGATAGATGTACAGTTCACCATGGAGATAATAAAGAGGTACAAAATGTAGAGTTAACCTGCTGGTTAGAATTTTGAACAATCCATTAAAAGTTTAAGGGATTTCAATATCAAATACCAGTACAAAAACTTGAGCTACCAACAGACTAGTGCCTGATCAGACTGCAGATTGTTATGCAAGTTGGCTGTAGCTGGCTAGAGGCTTATCATACCCACTTTTTAATGACAACTGATGAATTCTGTTTTAAAAATTGATCTTTGAATTAGATGCCAACATATAAACTCTTATAGTTCCTTATTGAACTTGTCCAATTTCCATTTTGGAACAGTCCATTTAAAAAATTGAAGTGAAATGTTGGTAGTTAATCCTGTAACTATTTTAAAATACATGTAGTTAGAATAAATATCCAATTTTGTAGAAATTGTTTGATGCATGTTTCATTTAACATTTCATTTTCAGGTTTGTCCAAGAGGTGTTGCTGACAGAGTAAATCTTGGTTTGATACCAAGTTCTCGTGAGGGTTGGCCTGTGGCATGCCGTGCACTGAAACCAGACAGTGGAGGGATATTACATATACATTATAATGTAAACACAAAGTCTGAGGCTAGGTCTAGTTGTCATAGTGATGACCCTCAGCAGATATTCAGATGTGAGGCTAAAAGTCGTACACCATGTGATGTTGGTACTGATGAAAATGATGTATTAGTGTCGGACTGCCAAAATGTTCATGAATATAATTCTAACATCTGTGATAATAAAGTAGATTCATGTTTAGCAGAAAAACATACCATAGACAACACTGCTAGTAAATTTGATGCATGTGTAAGTCAACTAACCATCATAAATGATCAGGGTGACACACAAACCAGCAAAAGTGAAATGGTAGCGACATGTAGTTGTAATAACCTTGAAAATTATTCAAACAATGAACTTTGTGATGTCGCAAAACATAAATGTTGTGATAGTAATGTTAAAAATTCCAAATGGTATACTTGGGCAGAACAAACAGGTCTTGAAATAAGAGAAATGTTACAACGTATACATGGAGGAATGTGGACTACACAAATATTACATATAGAACATGTAAAATCTTATGCACCTTATGTTGATCACATTGTGTTAGATCTTAAGTGTAAACCAGTTGTATTGTAAAACATAAAAGAAAAAATTTAATGCATTTCAAGTAAATCTTCTTCATGACCCACTAACATGGCAAGTTGGCAACAATGGCTTAGTAAATTTGACACTTGGAAGAAGAAATGACCATTGACTAAGATGTTTCTTCTTATGATCATGTAACTAATTGATAATAATATGTTATCTTATGAGTTATTAATCTAACCATAGAGAAAATATGTTTAACTTATTTGCAGACTTATGTAAAATTACAGGTATGGATTTAGATGATATAATGTGATTGAATTGTCTCTACACCTACATACAGTAAAAAAATTATCAAACTACATCTTTGTTTTATATTGTTATTGAGTAATGCCCAGTTACACTTAGACTTGGGTTTGAAGTTTAAATATTAAGCAAATGTATTTCTACAGATATGTTTTATTTATGAACCAGGGAGTCAAACACAACTTTAATACAGGTGTGTCTCTGGTTCTAGGAGTGATCTATTGAAATAAAGGGAGGTAATCAATACTGAAACAGATATGACATACTGTGCAAAGTGACATTGTATCTATAAAAATATTTTATGAAGTTAAGAAAGCACACAATTGTTGTTTTCCTTCAATTTTATAGTTTTCAATTCTCATCAATATAACAATAAATTGATAAATTTATAACCGAATAGCTTAATAGAACTCAGGTCATTCGATTTTGGTTACAATTTACTGAATTGTGGTAAAGTTATGCACCTTATACATGCAATTTTAATATTAATTGAAGATTTCAAGACACACTGTACATAGTTGCTTTTGAAGAGTTCATAGATAAGATTTATATTGTGATGCATGTACATAAAAACAGAACCTGAGTCACAATATACCGTCAGTTTTCTAAGTTTCTGTCAGTAACTTTCAACATATTATTTTCCTTCAGACATACATTGCCTAGTCTCAGCCAACATGTCTTATTTTGAAATATATTTTTTGTTTTCATCAGCTTTGTTAAAAAAGTTTTTAACAAATATTGGTCACTTTTCAGACGCCCGCTTGCAGAAGCTGACTTGGCAAAGTATATGCTTGTGTTAGTGCAGCTGTCTGTCAATGCTGTAAGTGCCCAATAGATTTACTTATTCTCCAAAAACTTGGCACAAATGTCAACCTTAATGACGAGTGTCATGTGCAAGAACCAGACTTGTAATTCAAAGGTCAAGGTTATACAAAGGGTCAAACATGAAAAATAGGTGCATATTTGCTTGTCTGAGATGTCATTGAAGTTAAGGTCAAGGTTATACTAAGGCAAAGTGAATATTGATAGCTATTTTGCTTGTCCAGAATGTTACTTTGCCATGGAATTACAGATTCTCAAATAACATGGCACATTTTAAAAGTAATTGAAATTAGTCTGGTATGGTTGTCACTTTTGAATAATGCTCTCCACTGTTAATGGGTTCAACATGACGTTCCTCAATATCTAGTTGTACATAGAAATGCCAATGATTTCAATGAAGGCTTTTAGATTAGTGGCATGCTGCTAAACAGATACATGATCATAGAACCATATCCTCCTGTCAAAAAGGCATACACAAACACTTACTTTTTTCTTGTCCTACTTCACACAAACATAGCTGTATGACTTGATTCAAATTATTTATTGGGTCTTTGATTTTATGACAGAATGCTTCGTTCAAATGATAAACAAAAACCAATCAATATAAAGCCTTTTATTTTATCACATAGATATCTTTCATAAACAAAAACCACATAACAAAGAATTCTTTGTGTTAACAAGGCTTTTAAATATGATTTTACTCAAAAGAAATAACTCTACCTTATGCATATTTTCTCTTTATACACAAACTTTCCTATGAAGTATGCAACATAAAGCCACAATGACAAATGTGATTTCTATTTGATGATAAGCAGTTGAACTACACAGCATGTTAATGCATCATACCTTGGCACACTTAATGTTTATGTCCCATGAAAAAATTGTTTTTTCTTGAATATGTTGAACTTCACTGTGTATTACTTACATACAGAAAGAGCAATCTGTTTTTATTAATACCAAAAATTTGAATACCAGGAGAGCTAGTTGGAAGGAATATAAAGACAATAATTGCAACATTAGTCATTATTTAATGAAAACTATTATAGTTTATATATCTTTTAATCACTAAAGATCAGGACAAGTAAGTTCTAAGTAAGTAATTTTTAAAAGGAAATTGCCGACAAAGTTAATGTTGAGACCTGTTAAGATCATATGGTAACAATGGTGGTTTTCTAGCTTTGATGGCAGAGAGACATGAAAAGGCCCTAAATGTAGAATTGATGGCACTTGCGTAGAACCATCAGATCTATCTATAAGATAACTCTTCCCATAAAAGTCTGGTCATGGTCTGCACTGTTTGCTATTTAGACAGTACTTGTTTTGACATTTTCTGTTATAATCTGTTGTTTTTTAAGACTGATGCACAAGTCCTTTTAAGATATTAAGCATAGAAATGGTTTTGTAAAAAAACACTGAGTATGATTTTCTATCATCTTAAGATACTGCTGTACTGAACTGGCCATTAAAGTCACAGAATCACAGTATATGATTATTTAACATCTTAAAAGATGTGTAAAAACTTGTAGTATCACCATGTATGAACTTTCTATCACCTTGGGCTATCTGTTGTTTATCTTTCATTCATTAGTGTCATCTGTATCTATGTCTCTTGGTGCTCTAAAATTCCTCTTAATCTTTTTCCGACTTTTAAAACCTACTGACTTTTCTTCAACAGTCTTATCAGCTTCATCTTCTAAATCTATCTTCTCTAATTTACGTTTTAAACTACTTTCACTTTTAATATCAATAGAACTGTCTAATTTGTCATCTATAGGATCACTGGAATCATCTTCCATTTTCTCATAACTACTGGAAGGCTTCTGTTTATTTTTGTCAGAATTTTGACCGGAATCAGTTTGTTTGCTTGGCCGTTTAAACGTGATAAGTCCCTTTGAACATGCATTACTTTCCAAATCTACTCCTTTTTCTTTTATCTCGCCTTCTCTCATTTTACGTCTTTCATGCAGAAAGTCCAAGGCGGCTTTCTTATTGGCAGAGTCACTTGTATCAACATCCTCTAGACTGTATTCTGTCCAACGTTCAGGGTGTACTTTATAATCAGGTACCCCCCGACTGCGCCCATATCTCCCCCGTGAAGAGTTCCTGCCTCTAAACTGTGACTGTGGTGGCCTGAAATATTTACACAGCATTTGAGTTTTTCCTTTATCAACATGTTTATTTTTGCTCAACAGGATCTCTTAGAAAAACTGTAGATAGAATCAATTTAGGCAGTAGCTGAATACAGTAGATTTTTTCTAATAAAGTTGTATGTTAAGAAGAAGTTATGGTAGCTTACATAGGTTTCCTGAACTGCTGTTCTGATCTCTCGTGTCCATGTCTGCCTCCTTTCCTACTCTCATGGTAATCTCTTCCTAACAAATAATATTATATACATTGTTAATCTGTTACATGCACTGTATAGCACAAATTTATTCTGACCTCTAATAAAGCATTAAAATAACAAATTCAAGTACTTACTTTCATGTACATAAATTTTGTGAAAAACATAATTATATAGAGGATATTTGTTTAGTTCAGTGTAAGATCGGAATATATTTCACCGAGTGAGCACCAAAAGGTATATTTCACGAGTGGCGCAGCCACGAGTGAAATATGAACTTTTGGTGTTCACAAGGTGAAATATATATCGATCTTACACTAAACTAAACAAATTTTCATTTTATTACATGCAAAGAAACGTTTTAAAAAGACATTAAACCTAATACTGAATGAAAAGCGCGCCAAATAATAATACAACGTGACGTCATTTACGACGTCACGTCATTAAGTTGGTACCCAGTACTGTGCACGCTGGTATTTCACTGAAACAACGTAAGGGGCTTAAATTCAAAACAGTGAAATTATCAAAGTGGTAATTTCACTGTTTCAAACAGTGAAATTACCAATTTTATATAACTGATATATTTCTATAAACCAACGAAAAGCATGTAATAAAGAATTAATTTCTGTGTAGACATTCTCTAAACAAATGGCAAAATTCAACTCCTGAAAAAACAAATGTTAAATTTCCTTCAGATTTCATACCCTAAATTCCTTAATATTTCATTACAACATTCAATGTAATTCACATCATTTCAGATGCTACCCTGTAATTTCATTAACATTTCAAAACATTCAAAATATTACCAATATTTCTTTTAATAATAATAATAATGCCTGATGATAGAAAATTATCAAAGTTCAACATAAGAGATGTTTAGTTGAGCATGGGGTATTGTGCGGCCATCATTTGATCGAAAGGTATTCTACATCTACATATAAATGACTGCTATTTATGTAAATCAATCAAAAAAAATTCTCCAAGACAACTTGAATTATATAAGATTATACCTGTGAAAGTTGGCCTTTTGAATGTTTCAGTGGAAGTGTCTGCATCGTCGTCAACAGGAGTTTGATGAATCAAGTGTCTGTCCGAATCTGCATCTTCTCTTGCTCTAGATCTCTCAAAAGCTTGATGCTTTTGTTCCAAAGCATCTAGACTGCCAAAAACATCCTTGCATCTATTAAAAGATATATACAATGTTTGTTTAGATAAATACTTAATTTATGGACATTCAACATGCAGAAACAGTATTTTACCAGTAATTACTTTCCTAAGCCATTGTAGGAAAGTAGTAAGAAGTCATACAGATTACAAGCAGTATGAAACAATTGTATATTATTATGTTTCTATTTTTTTTTTTCTAAAGCATAAACCAATTCCATACTCCAAGAAAATCTTTAAGTTTTATATCCATTTTACATCTACCTTAATTTCTTCTTGTTTCAGTGTTTATATTTATAAATGTTTAAATATCTAAAGTAAAACATGCTGTATTAAAATAACGTCAAACCTGTCATTCAAGCCGCTGTTTTGTAACTGGAATACAGGAACTGTCTTTGACTCCTCAATATCATCCATTTCATTCCTGGAATATACAAAAAGATCACATAACAGCAAATGAAAAGAATGCCTTTCATTTTCTAATTGATATTAAATATAAACAATTTATCCTGGATTCTGTATCAGGCTAAAAAATTACCCTGTTCCTTATACAAATAACAGCCAATTAAGTCTTGTTCAAATTAATCGCTTGAAGAGTGAAGGAAGCAAATAGAATATTCAGTTGCTTATTATATATACAGTCGCAGGAAAACATGAGCTGTCAGATTGACTCAAACTAGTGGATTTATTAGAGGCAAGCGTCAGCTAGAGGCACACCTCAATCAGTCAATGCATAATATACTCCATGGTTTTGAGCAGGTTAGCAGTTTTAATTTAAGTACAGGCTACAGTATAGTCTGATGAGCGTAAACGTAGTAAAGCTTGTGTAATTCCCCAGAGGTTAATCGGCACAATCCTGTATAGTGCTTACAGCCAAGGTCAAAAAGGTCAATAAAGACCTGTAATACATATTGGCATACAAGTAGTTACCATACAAAAGCAGTACCTGTATTTTTCTTTTAAACGCTTGATTTTTACTTGTTTTCTTTAAAAATTGATATCAAATCGTGCAGATGTATGAACGAGACAATGTCTGAGTGCCAGTAGGCAGGGATAGAATTTAGCAATATTTTCTACTTGCAAATTTGTGCAAGTAACCAAATGTTTAACTGGCAATATGAGGTAGTCAGCTGGCATTTCAATTATTAAATAACATCTCTTTTATTTATTATTATTATGCACATTGACAATGTATTTTGAACATATGGTTTGACAAATGATATTTAGCTGCATGTCTATTGAATGTCAGAAACATCTTTATTACTAGTAAACACAGATGAGACAAAAACTATTCAATACATTAATTTATAAATAATAAACAATTGGTTAGAGATTAGGAATGTATATATTAGAGGAAAACTAGTCTATCTGGACTATCAAGAACCACCAGTGACAATGTGCAGTTATAAACTCTCATGTAATGCAATTTCTTGGTACATGTAACTTTATTAATTTTAGCATACTTTGTAATTGACCAGCTGATTACACCAACAGACTGAAAACTTAGAGGTACTAAATTACTTTAAAGTAAACACTTTACAGACAAGTGCTACTGATTTAGATTCGACCCTGATATAACAACTTTGATAGGCTAACCAATAATGTTTGCCTATGTTGAGATAAATAGTCCATCTAAATATATCCACAGAAAAAATGAAAATAGCAACCTTAAATAGATTTTTACTGAAAACATCATCTGTTACTGCATCTGGCATAGTAAACATCATCAGTTATTGCAGCGGGCAGTTTCTTAGCATGTGCATAAGATTTCAGTTATGTACAATTTCATATTAATGAATAATTTGTAACTTGCAAATAAATGCAAGCTAAAGTAATTTTTGCTGGTAGTTTTTTATTTTAACTGGCAGTATGCAAGCTTAAATTTGAACCCTGAGTAGGTACAAAGGTTTTCATTTTAAATCACTTTCACCTTTGTGTTGTTAAAACATGACAATATATAAAACCTTTGGATTCCATCTTTGTTTGCATGTGCTAAAATAGTTACCTTAAATGTACAACAATGCTACAGAGGGGCCCAGCAGTTAGAAGAAAATAATGTGTCATTTCAATAACGCATATCTAGCCCAACAAATTATGCACTTTAAGGCTTTTTATTATATAGACGATGGTCTCCCTTCATGCAAAGACCAACATCTATGTAATATCAGATTGTAAAATTGGTCCGTCTTGCAGTCGAAATATTGAGACTTAACATATTAGGCCTCATAACTTAAAGTTATTCTCTAATAAGAACAAAATTATTGGGATTTCCATAATTTGTGTGACAAGCCGAATAATAATGTGTAGCAACAATTGTTTGGTGAGTGAGCATATTAAAACAGAGCTTTTTAGTAACTACGCTTTTTTGGACCTGAACTACTCGCTATTTCATTTGGCATGTCAATATATTTTGACTAAGCGAGATTCTGCCCCAGAAAGAAAATATCTCGCACGTCAATATATTTTTATAGTGAAGTCAAGCAAAAAATTTTTTTTTAATAAAGTATGGAGTGTTATACATCATTTTAAAGGTCTTTGCAAAAGAAGCACAATGTTTTTTAAATGAACAAAATATCTTTTCATATAAGAAAGTTATCCCATTTTGAATATAGCAACCGTCTGTGTTACGTGATACCAAAATCACAGGATTGTCCTTCTACATATATATTTACACATATATATTAAAATAAAGTACCTAAGAATTGACTAGTGAATATTATTTTAATGATAATAACAAAACAGACATAAAATGACAACAAAATACAAATATCAATCACATATAGAGTCAAGTATCAAAGTATCAAAGCACATAACTGCACATATAGATAGTGTCCAGAAGTCTGAATCCCGCAACACAACCCAAAAAATCTCATTCTCAGGTAAACTCACTTTGTACTGGAATATTATGAAAGTAATATTACTTTAATTGACAGTTATTTTCAGGCAAGCCTCTTGGTAGTCCTTCAGCAACTGATAGGTGTAGACAGCAGGGTCCTCATCATAAACAATGTTAAACCAAGACTGGTAACCTGGCACCTGAAACATAAACAGCTCTTTAGAAAAACCAAGTCTGTTAAAATGTCACAAACAGTGAATACATAAGTTTTACCTATAAATTCTTTAGATACAAGTTGTGCATAGTTTGAAACAATCATAAAAAAGAAGAAAAAAGAAAGCATGACTGTACTAATCGAAACCCATGCAACGAAGCAAGCCTTTATGAATTCAGATGTTATCGGTAATGATATTAGTAAAGTTAATACATATAGGTTAGTGAAGATTTTTTAGTAATGTAACTTGCATAAACATCTGACTGGATCTAAATTGACAGTTAACAAATGAGGTATTTTCATGGCACTGATAAAAACACAATTTAGTTGAGCTACAGTCATCGGTCGAACTGAATACCTGTGAGATGACTCTTCCCTTGTACCAGATTTCTTCTCCATTCTGGGCGAACTTATGCTCTACCATCTTTCCTGTTAGTATTACTCTATCTGTTTCTGAATTGTCATTTTCTGCTGTAATTGTAAAGGCATGAGCCACAAGCTTTTTAACATTTGTAGTCAGCTCTTCTGTGGTGAGGTCTTTTCGCTTTCCATTTTCAGATTTAGAAAATCTGTAAACGTCTTCTAATCCATCAGATGGATTCTGCTTCAGAACATGCTTTCTAAAATTCAATTGACATTTCAATGCTTCTTTTTTTTCTGTTACACTATCCAACTCTCTCAATGCACTGTCAACAGCATCTTCAGACTGCCATAAACCATAGTATATGATTCTATCTGTGTACCTTTCAAGTTTTTGAATCCTTTTCTGCTCAAGAGCCTTCGCCTTTTCGATTGACAGCGCCACAGCTTCCTTGTGTTTCCTTTCAATTTCTGATTTCCTTTGCTGAAAGTCAGATCGTACTCTTTTAACATCACGCATTGCTTCTTCAATCAAATGTTTTTTCAAGTGTTCATCTTTTTCATTCAACCAAGTGTGTGTTCTGTTGGCTGAAAACATCAAATATGCCTCAGAAGCAAGCACAGAGACGTTTGGCTTCTTTCTCAAAAGCTGGTCTAAATATCCAAATGCTGATTCTGCAAATTTATTGTGTTTTTGCGTTCCTGATGCCTTTCCTTTCATCTCGTCTGTGAAATGTTCCCATTGGCCACCTGGTAAATGATCAGCATACATTTTCCGTGACAACTCGGCTAAGGCTGGAAGTGCTACTTGCAGGTATATAATGACCTTGTCGTCATGTTCCCATGGAGCAAGCAAAGATTCAAGTATTGGATCATGTTTAACTACAGTGGCATCTCCAAATACTTTCATTTTTCCAGTTATGAAAGACTCCATGTCAGTTGCAGCTTCATTTAAGAAAATCACAAGCTGTAGGTAGTGAATGTTCATGTCAAATACATGGATGGTTCTATCTTCTAACAGAGACCATAATGGCCCAGTAACTAGTCTGCTGATCAGCGCAAGAGCTTTTACTCCAGCCATGTACTCTGGAACTTGGATATCAAACAGTACTGACTTCAGCAGGTTGTTTGTCTGATTGCCTGATAGAAATTCTCTTATCTTCTGATGCAAAAAGAACAGGGACGCCGCACTTTCAAACAGTATGTTGAAACGGTTACCACGGAATGGTTGTAGGGGGAGACTGTGCATTCCATTGTCAGACAAGAAGTCCTTTACGAAGGAGCTGAAGTCCTTAAACTTGCCTGATTTCTCATCAGCACCCCGTGCCAGCGCTTTGCATGCTGTCCGAACTAGTCTGAGTGCACCAGATTCTTTTGCTTTCAGAAATGATTTGTCATGAATTGGCCTATCTTGAAAGAAGCCCTTTTCACATTCGGCCAGGGACTGGTTTGCAGATTCTGCGAAGTGCACGAGCCCATGGAGGCCACAGAAGAAGTTCAGAACAGAGCTAGCAGCAACTTGATCTTCCTCAGACAAAGCATTCCAATTTCCATGCAACTCTGGTAACACATTGGACCTTAGTTCTTGCAGTAGCTCATTGAATTTCTTTTCGGTACTGGCTCTGTCGCTCATTGTAGCAGATATGTTTATGAGGATCCGTTTTGCTGTCATGTCTGCTTCTTTGCTTCGGTCATCAATATCTTGTAATATTTCATTGAGCACACTAAGTGTGTCTTGTCCTGATTTGGTGACGAGCGGTCGATGACCTAATACATACATTCTACCTTCTGTGTCTGATGTATGGTATCCGGAATACTTAGTCCCAAATTTGGTTGTTTCGTCTGTGTAAAAGGTAAAATTAGTTTTGTCTGGCAACTGTTCATTTAGCTGAGTTTGGGACAGTACAAGTCTTTCCACATTCATAGTCAGCACTGTACTTTTTGACGGTAGCCTATATGTGTGTTTATTGACTAACTTCAAAACAGTTCGGATAACTTTCTCAACATTCTGGGCACTAACGTTCAGTTCGAGCAACATATATATGCACTCCCTTAATTCAGATAAGTATTTGTTCCCGTTCTCATCATAGAATGAGAGTTCATTGTCTTCCACCATTTCTGCCAACCAATCCCTTTCTGCAACTATATTGTCATATTCTGCTTGCTTTCTTTGCACTTCTTCTTGTAACTCAACCGAAATTGCTGTTTCTTGATTAATGATTTCCTTTAATTGACTCACATTTTTTTCCATTTGTTCCAACTGAACTTTTAATTTTATGTTCTTTGTTTCTGCTCTACTTTGTTTTAGTCTTATTCTTCTTAGTGAAGCATTTTTCGATTTCAGACGAGACTCCAATACACGAACCAGTCTTTTGTTATTCACAATGTCAGCTTTCATTTTCTTGACTGTCAATTTAGAAACTTTAGTTTTCTTAAGATTTGTAATTTCAGACTTTAACTGTTCATTTTCTGTGTTTTTTTCTTTGAGTTGTATAGCAATGTCAATACAGGCTTCACGGTATGAACAATTACAGGCAATTTCTCTGTCTTTAGGCTTTTTGAGTTGAGGAGATGCTTCAGGAAAGACATATGTATCACACATGAATATATCGTACTTAGACCTGCCACTGTCTCGGTTTTTACTTTTAATCAGTTTACTATGTTCACGTTGGCATGAAGTTATCGAAGACACATAGGACATATAATGCGGTTTAGCAGAACTAGTTGTTTGGTGAATTTCCTGTAGCCACTTTGCACATTCATTTTTTCCTAGACTTTTGGCTTTTTCTATTACTAGACTGTAAGTGATGTTAGTTGCCATTGTAATGATATGTGTTACTTACTTTAATAAATGTTAACAATGTTTCTTTTGTCCAAATACTGGCGAGGCAGATGGCTACAATAGAAGGAAATAGGAAGTGCTATTGGAATATATACTTGCTTTTTTGCCTTTTGATAATGTAAGAGTGCATTTTTTCAAATATGCTTTATACATCTTGCAGACTGTCAGTTACAAGCCTTGACATGCCCAGTTAAAAACAATCTTCACTCTTACATTATCTCATGGCTAATAGGAAAGTAAGCAGAAACCATAGCTTGGATATATACTCAGCACAAAAATAAAACTCACACATTTAATTTAATATTGTACTATCGCCTTAATTTGTTACACTTCAATTGGTGAATCAAAGAGCAAAACAAAAATAGTTGTATAAGCAAGTAATTGTTGTGTGGTATCAAGATTCTCAGAGAAATATAAAGGTTTAAAAAATATACATCAAACTATAGTGCTTTTTTGTGCTGAGTATAGAAAGTTAGTCAATATAATAGCTACAAGTATTTACAGATAAGGAAGAAAGCACCCAAACCACAACTAAATACACATGTACATTCTTGCAATCAGAGATTTATTTTCTATTGTAAAAATGTTAGGTATTGTAATAAAAAATGTAAAAAATATCAGAAACTGAACAGAATAATTAATTAGATGAACAATTTAAATATTGATGAGTTTAAGTTTTGTGTAAAAATAAATCTCTGATAAAATGATGGTCAAGCATGACTAAGATAAGCATTTGAGGTGAAATAATGGTTAGTATGGGTCTATGAAAGCAGTATGTTTTCTAAGGCAAATACTATATATCTAAATACACAACATTCATATATACTTAGGTATTCAAACATACTTTGTATTCTAGAAGTTCCTGGACTTCCTTGCGTAATTCCTGGTTCTCTTTGGTCAATGCAATGATTTGCTGACGAAGTCTGCGGATTAGGGGGGCACAGGAACACTCTGACTCAGATGAAGACTAGAAAAATATAAAAAATGTTATTTTTATTGAACGTAAAGAAAGATACTTTTCAGAACTGAAATAAGAACCTTTGATTAATTACATAGCATCAAACTCGTACAAGTATTAAAAAGCGTTAAAACATTACAATGTATATTGTGTATTGTATGGATAGTTTCTTAGTTAACAAACTTAGAGGTGTTGTTCCACTTACAGGATATTCATCCAGCAGGGATGGGGGTAGCCTGTCTTTTCCCCAGGAATCAATGGAGTCTGCTGTTGGGGCACTGCTGCTTAAATCATCTAAAAGCGAGTCATCGCTGTTTGCCTGCAATACATGAAAGTCGGAAAAAAAAATACATATACATCATTTCATTTACTTATAAACAGACAACAACAAGAGATATTTTTATGTAAGAGCTTAATGATCAACATAGAATACAACTCAACTGTATTTCAACTTTCATTCTTTATTTACTATAATATAATTTGATTTTATCTGGTAGAAATTGAATGTACATTTACACATGGGATAATAGATTCTATTAACTTTCCTACTTACCGAAATCTCATCTGTCATAAGACGGGAACTGTTAACTGTTGTCTGCCCTGAGCCTGAACTTGCTGAAGGTGATGGGGGACAACACTGGCTATTTGGTGCCCACTCGTGGCCGTCCACTTCTCCACACAGACACAATCTAGGCTGTGATGTTGGTTCAATGTGTGCTGATCTAGTATTCCAAGAATATACCAAATGGCAAATTAGGAACATGGCAGTAGCATGTTTAGGATTTACTTGAAATAAAATCTCCTAAATATTAAAATGTTCCAACAAATCAAACTACTAGTATATTTCTTTACTAATTTATAGACAAGGGTGAATGGAAAACCATTTATATTTATTGTAAAAACAAGGGCACCATTTGGTATCCGAAAAAGTCTTATCCGAAATATGTCATCTGTGTAACTTGGTCGTATCTTCTAATTAATTTTCTATTGCGATAAAATCTATTTGCAACTTACTAAAACTTGTGTTAATATAATAAATTCAATCAAAAACCACTGGTTCGAAGGAAATAATCACCAATAAACTACGAAAAACGTGTTGTTTACATGTAATTATTGTTTGTGAGAGTATTCAAGGGAGGTAATTCAACCCGTCGGTTCGTCTGACAAAAATGTCGACCGACCCCAGAGGTCAACGACAAGAGCGCGCGCTTCTATGCGCTGCAAGATTTACACACGATAATGACTTTTTTTCAAAGATTAAATCTTGCATAACACCCTGCAATCAATTTAAACTATCTTTCTATCACAGTATTAACGGGAGAATTGGTTAAAATTCACCAATCTTTGGTTAAAAACTACGAAAATATAAAAAAAAAAGTGAACCGCATTTTCCAAAATACATACCCAGCATCCATGTCTACACACAAATCAATGACGTAATTTCTTCACAAAATACCGAAACGAGGATAATTTATTCAATTTATCCTTTGACCCTATCACTGATCAAGATGGCGACCATGTCAATTCTGACCTCGTTTCCGGTTAGGCGATAACTTTGCGTTAAAAATATACATAAACAGGCACTGTTACAGTTGACTTATTTATCTTATTTGGTAGATAAATTATTGTTTTACTTAACTATTCAACAGATACGAAGACTTTAATTGAATTTAAGCAAATGTATGACTCCCAAACATTATTGTTTACAATGGTGACACATAGGCGGCGCCTCGTTCCGAGATCAGCTGACCTCGTTAATTTTTACTAAACTTGCATGCCAGTGTATGTAAAAAACTTATTTCATCTATCTCTATGACTTGCAACCTTTCGAATTCGATCTAATGTTATTGATGGCAGAAAATCAACGATTCTACCTTTCATTACATATCATGTTACTTAATTTTACTTTTATTAATAGTGTTCATCTCTTAATTGTCCATATCATGTCATGTCCGAATTCTAACACACTTTAGCAAAACACGTTCTTACAGCACCGCTAGCTGTCAGTTGTTTATTGTGTAAACAAATACATGCACAAAATTTTAATAAAGAAATATATTCGTATGTAACAAATAATTAACCATTTGCTGACAAATAAACTTAAAATAAGTCGCAAAACTTACAATCGTTAATAAAATCAAGCGTTTAAGAAACTCAGATTAAATACCATAAAGCCCATTAAGCACCAGAAAGAAAAAGTATGAAATACACAGATAGACATTCTAAAATCTAATTCAGATCTTGATATCACATGAATGATCTGAAAATATGCACAAAAGTTGTTGGTCTTTATTATTTTATAATATCAAAAGCTGGAAAAACATTTCCAGTCCTTTCATAGCAAAAACCTAATCCCTTTAAAATTTAACAGTGGTCAGGATTTTTTATTTGAAAGTAACTTGCTTGGCATAGGGTCATACAGGGTTTTATCAAAACATACCATGCACTTTCCCCAATATTGTTCTGGATAAGCTTATAATAACAGCAATCTGTACATTCAGTCTTATTAAAATATTTCAGGCAATTTCTATAAATGACAATGTGAGTGGAAACATTTAAAATTTGGATAAACCATCATTTTTTGTAAGTTAAAAAGGGGCCTAACTTTGACAAGATGTAAGGTGGTTATGTTACCTGACAATGAAGGTCACACCGTGTGTAGTCCTATAAATATGACGTTGCTTTGAGATATTTGTAACTGCTGGCAAAGCAACGGCTTAACCAACATAAACTATAACAAGCCCGTAACGTCTGATATATTGGACTAACCCTATGTGGTGCACATTGCATTGTGTTAATGTCAGGTGGCTGAAAAATAAGTGTTATTTTTCTTAGAATGTTTTTTTTTGTGTGCTGATTTTAAGTTTGCTTTGTTTTTTATGCTGATTTTAACATATTTGATCATATCTTGACAGTCTATCCTCCTAATTGGCTCACCTAGAAAACTTACCAGTAATTGACAATTTCTTGACAAGTGACAGACTGCTCATCTCACAGGATTTTTGAATCAGCAGTCAGAGACAAAGATAAATTGTCACATCAAATTTTGTCTCTCCAAGGATCCAACCAGCCACCCATTGATTACTTAGACAATGCTCTCTCTATGGAGCTTAGCAGGCAGACTATTTTTATTTTTTTTTAATAACACTATAAATCACAAGTAAATATTTTTAAAGGGCAGTAAACTTGTAACTTTGAAATTTCTAGAGTAATCAAAATTGCTTGTCCATACCTTTTATAGTGATCTTGAGAAACATCCATGACACCATCCCTATTGAGTTACATGGGCAGACATTTTTTTTAGTAAATACTATACATCACAAGTAAATAACATATGAACCTTATTCTCTCTTGGAAGGATATATCATAGTACAATGTAGTACTAGTAATTAACATTATAGCAACTACCATAGTTCTAGATCTGATACAGAAGTTTTGATAACAAGACTGAGACTAGAAAGAGGTAAAAAGACTTTCCTATTTTCAGCTAATTTTTCGATTAGCTTTGCCTTCCGGGTCCTGTTCTATTTTAAGAGATTATAAAATTTCATTGACAGCCATCATTAAAGACTAGAAATGTGTCATCATGCCACGGATGCCCCCGCATGCAGCCAAAATTTCAAATGTTATAATATTTAGTTCCAAATTTGTTTGCACAAATTATTTTTTTCATTCTAAGTTCAAAGCCCTTAAAACTTTTCAATGTTGACACAAACCATTTTTATACAATGTTCAAGGCACTGAAATTATAATTCAGTCTTAACCTTTTAAAAATAGCATAATGCATATTTGTAGCCAACATAATGGCTATATACATTTCCACAAAAGTATGAGTGCTGAAACTGAAAGTTCAAAATTTTTCCAACATTCAGGAAAGATAAGTTTGTCTAAAATCATTGAACCACGACCAAAATCAAACTTAAACTGCTTATTCCTAAGATGTATCTATATTATTTTCAAAGTGAAAGGGACATAACTCTGCCAAAAAATCATCGAACCATGACCAAATTCCAACTTGACCTGCGCATTCCTTTGACATATCCATATGTCAATTTTGAGTTGAATATGTAACACTGTTGGGTTGATAATAAACAGAAACTGTAAATTTCATATCATTTTCAAAGTGAAAGGGGCATTACTCTGCCAAAAATCATTGAACCATGACCAGATTCGAACTTGGCCTGGGCATTCCAAAAACATATCCATATGTCAAATTTGAGTTGAATGTGTAATATTGTTGGGGAGATAATAAATGGAAACTGAAAATTTCATATTATTTTTAAAGTGAAAGGGGCATAACTCTGCCAAAAATCATCGAACCATGACCAAATTTGAAATTGACCTGCGCATTCCTTTGACGTATCAATATGTCAAATTTGAGTTGAATGTTTAATACTGTTGGGGAGATAATAAACAGAAACTGAAAATTTCATATTATTTTCAAAGTAAAAGGGGCATAACTCTGCCAAAAATCATCGAACCATGACCAAATTTGAACTTGACCTGCGCATTCCTTAGACGTATTGATATGTCAAGTTTGAGCTAAATGTGTTTAACGATTGGGGAGATAATGAACGGAAACTGAAAATTTCATATTATTTTCAAAGTAAAAGGGGCATAACTCTGCCAAAAATCATAAAACCATGACCAAATTTGAACTTGACCTGTATTTTCTCATGACATATCAATATGTCACGTTTGAGTTGAATGTGTTGTACCGTTGGGGAGATAATGAACGGAAACTGAAAATTTCATATTATTTTCAAAGTAAAAGGGGCATAACTCTGCCAAAAATCATCGAACCATGACCAATTTCCAACTTGACCTGTATTTTCTCATGACATATCCATATGTCAATTTTGAATTGAATGTTTTGAACCGTTTGGGAGATAATGAACGGAAACTGAAAATTTCATATTATTTTCAATGTAAAAGGGGCATAACTCTGCCAAAAATCATCGAACCATGACCAATTTCGAACTTGACCTGTATTTTCTCATGACATATCCATATGTCAAATTTGAGTTCAATATGTGCAAGGGTTATTAAGATAATGAACGGAAACTGATGATGACGGAAGGACGGAATGACGGAACAGGGTAACACTATATGCCCCTGCCATTATATGGCGGGGGCATAAAAAAGATTCTAACCTTGGCATTCTGTCACTCTTAGTTACCAAGGTTGTATGATTGATTGGGTTTTACGCCATACCGAAACAGTATAGGTAATATGGCGACTTTCCAGCTTAACTGGTGGAAGAAGACCTGAGGTGCCTTTTTGTGCATTATTTCAGGCACAAACGGGCACCTCAGCAGAACCACCCTTCTCCTTAAGCTAGCTGGATAGCTTTCTCACATGAAAGAAAAAGTAAAACATAACACAACATATACAATATTAATGAGGTTTATTACCAAAGTAAATGCAAAATATTCAAATATGATTTCATAAATATGATACAGGCATTAATAGCGTGCAACAAGAGCTACAATATATTAGAATAAGACCACTTTTAAACATCACAGTAACAAGAAACAACTGGAGATGATATATATTTTCATATTCAAAGAAGACAGGAAAATATTTGAAAATTTGTCATTCCGACTTACTATACCACAATGCATTAATCTGGAAATAAGGAAATCAATACAATTTTTTTTTATGCAAACACTAATATCTTCAAGCAAATCTTGACGCCTCCTGACAAACCAAAATATTTTAAGAAAATCAAACTTGAGAAAAATGTACTAAGATTTTAAGAAAAGTAAAAAGCTTTAAGTGATAATTTACATGTATGTGTAGTTAAACATCAATTTTGCAGAATTTATCACCATATCTCTATTGCGTGACCTACACAGTAAGAGCTATTTTTGCATTATTTAACCTATTTTTGATAATTTACATGGATTGTAATGCAGTTTGTAATGTATAAATTACTTTCTTTGTTCACTTGACAATTTTTAATCTTAAAAACATTTTCAAAATTTTTGTGAAAATTTAGTATGAATCTGGAGGCATGCTGCTTTAACAATTTCATGACATAACAAAATACTTAAACAAGAGGGCCATGATGGCCCTAAGGTCGCTCACCTCTATGTAGGCCCCCGGAGCGGGGCCAGTTTAAACCCCAGGGCTTTTATTTGAACAAACTTGGAAGACACCTATAAGAAGACGTTTCATGATGTACACACTTATAATGAAAAACAATGATCTGCCTTCCCCTACCCCTGGCAGGGCCAATTTTAACCAAGGGCTTTTATTTGAACAAACTTGGTAGACACCCATAAGAAGATGTTTCATGCTAAACATCTAAGCTGTAGCTCACTGTGTTTTTTTAAAGAAGATTTTTTAAGTTTTTACTATACACATATAGTTAAAAACAATGACACCCCTGGGGCGGGGATAGTTTTGACCCCATGGCTTTTATTTGAACAAACTTTGTAGACACTTACTAGAACATGTTTCATGGTCAATATCTAAACTCTAGCTATTTGGGTTTTTTCAAAGATGTTTTTTAAGTTTTTCCTATACACATATAAGGAAAATCAATGACCCCCCCCCCGGGGCAGGGCCAATTTTGACCCCAGGGCTTTTATTTGAACAAACTTTGAGACACTCACTAGAAGATGTTTCATGCTTAATATCTTAACTCTAGCTATTTAGATTTTTTCAAAGAATACTTTTTAAATTTTTGCTATACACATATATAAGGGAAATCAATGACCCCCAGGGCGGGGCCAATTTTGACCCCAGGACTATTATTTGAACAAACTTGGTAGACACCCGCTAGAACATGTTTCATGCTAAATATCTTAGCTCTAGCTCTTTGAGTTCTTTAAAAGAAGATTTTTTAAGTTTTTACTATATACATATAGGGAAAATCAATGACCCCCTGGGGCGAGGCCAATTTTGACCCCAGGGCTTTTATTTGAACAAACTTGTTAGACACCCATTAGAACATGTTTCATGCTAAATATCTTAGCTCTAGCTCTTTTGGTTCTTTAAAAGAAGATTTTTTAAGTTTTTACCATATACATGTACATATAGGGAAAATCAATGACCCCCTGAGGCGGGGCCAATTTTGACCCCAGGGCTTTTATTTGAACAAACTTGGTAGACACCCATTTGAACATGTTTCATGCTAAATATCTTAGCTCTAGCTCTTTTGGTTCTTTAAAA